AAAAAAAAAAAAAGTGGTGGACAAAAAAAAAGAAAAAAAGGAGGTGGAAAGAAATCAAAAGCCCGTATTCCTTGAATACGGTTTTTGGAAAAATTATTTGGAAAACGTATTCCGTGAATACATTTTCTTTTGTAAAAAAAATGTGAAAAACGTATACAGTGAATACATTTTTCTATTAAATTATACAAAAAAACGTATTTTATAAATACGAGCTTTTTATTAATAAATGGCCATGTTTGTTTAATAGCGTTTCAGCCACAAATTAGCTTTTTGAACAAAATAGCTGTTTGACTTTTAAAACCTTCAATTTTAAAATGTTTGGTTGATAGCTTTTTGAAATAGCTTTTTTGATCTAAAAGCTGTTTTTCAAAAAGCTACAAATTGAAGCTTTTTCAAATAGCTTTTTGAGGAAAAAAATGTAAAATGACATATTTGCCATTAATTAACACTACTACATTAACTCTAACTCATATTATTTTAACACACTAGCATATTTGGTGTTAAAAATCAAAGTTAGCTTACAAAATAGATTTACATTTTATTACATTAATATATTGGGTTAAAAATAAATTGAGATTATAAATGAACTCAAATTTCTTTAAATACTCCATTGAATTAAGTGAATTAGGTGTTCTGAAAAAATAAAAACGAAAGATTGAGCGATGAATTATGTGCAAATTTATAGAGAAAGAGTAAGACTAAAGGCTGATAATTGATATGCGAATTTTTACATTTTATGTTTTTTTATTTTATTTTTTATTTGAATATTTGTTATCATGTCAAATTAAAATCTTCATAACTTTTTTTTACTTCACAATTATATATTGTAACAATTTCTTATTTGTGTTATGTTATTTTGAGCCGTTTTACAAATATTTTAAATATAAGTAATTGTTATTTTCAATATAATTGTAATTTTAAATAAACAAGAATATAAAAGAATAGATGTCCATATAAGTAATTTTAAATGTTAACAGCTGATTAAAAATAATTAATTTACCACACACTCTTTTGGAAACCGCTAAAATAATCAGCTGGTCAAAGCAGCTAACACCATCCGCTAGTCAAAACAGCTAATGCAATCCGCTAACAGCTAACAGCTAACCGCTAACTGCCAAACAAGGCCAATATATAAATCGCTCGGCCGCCTCTGTCCTATTTTATTTCTCCCCGCTTTTTTCTTTCCCTGGCAAATAAATTCCTCTCAATTCGCGTGAGTCTCCCTAGGAAATTAAATCTTTTCCGAATCTTCCAACCAATCAAAACTTTTCACAAATAAATGTCCCCTGCGCAAATAATTCCCTAGGAAAGTTGTTCCATGCGTTGAAAGTCGTAAAGTTGTGCACTGGAAAAGAAGCAAATCAAGAAGAAGTTAACAAAAGCAACGATGGAATCCACAGCAGCAATGGATGGTAAGCAATTACAACGGACACCTTTAATATATATTAGCTTTGTATAGTACATAAACGGTTCATAATATTCTTGTTATTCTAGTCTCTTTGTATTGAACCAAAAGCAACCGTTGATATATGTATGTATATTTATGCATGTTTTGGTTTGAATTTTAGTTAGTTTGTGTTGCTTACAGTAGCCATTATGGAAACGAGAGAGGCTTCACCCGCTCATTTGTTGATCAAAATTCAATCTTTCTCGTTGCCTGCGAAGCATGGGATCAAGAAATTCGAGACCACCGAATTTGAGTCCGGTGGACACAAATGGTATGTGACCGGTTTTCTCGTGTCGTGTTATATGAAGCGCAACAACACAACTACAAATTCACTTGAAAAAAAAATATTTATTTTGAAATTTTATGTCAAGACTTGTGTGATTCGCTTGTGCAGGAAACTTATAATATACCCAAGTGGAAGGGAAAGAGAGGAAGGTTACGTGTCGGTGTACTTAGCCATTGTGGATTCTGGTGGCTTGCCTGTAGGCTGGGAGGTTAATGTCGTCTTTACGATCAGCTTGCTTAACCAGATTTCCGGCAACACAGCTTGCTTATAAAATTTAGAAACAGATATTCTAAGTTGCCCAATTTGTTACAATCATTCATCCAAAATGACAAACTATTTTTGTCTAGCTGTTTTCTGTTTGGTCGTGAAATTCGTCTACTTCATCCTGGGTCGAGCGACTCACCGTTAGACTCGTCCATTCTGTAATTTTTTTTTTTTTCGGGTTCAACTTAGTGTGTCCTTTTTAAAATTTTGCCCTGCATTTGGGGTGCAACATTATCTTGTTCTAAATAAGCCAGTGTATTCACATTTCTTGTTACTTCTATATATCTATGAATCTTCATAAACATATATATGTTTGCACATTTTTTTTTTTTTTAAAGTAGATAGTTGTATTAGGATGTCGGCGTTTTATTGCAATGAAGACATAATGGTGGTTCTCCAAGTTCATCCAAGAAAGAACTCAATGATCCTCACAATGGATACCTCAGCCACGACGACAATTGTGTGTTCGGTGCTGAAGTTTTCGTTAACCAAAACAAAGCAATCATTGATTGTCTGTCTTTGAAGAACGTTGTTGGTGTTCCCTACAAGCAAGAATGGAACATTCCAAACCTTTCTAAATTGGGAGTCAATGGGTTTCACCGGAGTTTTCTTTCGGAGGCTATAAATGGTATGTATGTTAATTGATTAATTTGCCGGGCATCATTATCACCTATATATGTATTCTTTTTTAATTTGTTCTTTTACCAGACACAAAGTATTTTTATGCAAGAGTATGAAGATGTATAGAAATGGAAGCGAAGAAGCTAGCGGACGCTTCGTATCTATCTTCTTATACTATATTCCTACGAATGGTAACAACGAATGTCTGCACACGTGCTATACAATCAGCATGAAGAATCAGATTAGCAGTAAACGCGAAGTAAAGTTAGTAAGTCATGATAATAAGCACTTGAAATTTCCAAAGTATATCTCATTTTCTTATTTTATGAAAATAGTTTACTTATCGGAACATCTTGGGTTGTAGGTTCTAATTGGTTTTCAGCTACTGGAATCTGTAACTGGGGATGGCATTCATTTATTGAGCTTGCTGTGGTGAACGATCCTAATGAAGGCTTCATTGTGAACGACCGTTGTATTATAGAAGTAGAGATATCTGTGCAAGCTATAGCAAGCTTAGGCTGATTTGTCTATCGACTTTTAAACCAGAAGAAAGTATTTTTTTTTTCTTATTTTTTTTAATATGTTTTTAACTTATGTGGTGTTGAAAGTTGGAAATTTATTGAACTATTTAGAAGGGTCTTAATTAAAAGCTCATGTGATTTCTCATCTGTTTTTTTGCAGATGATCTAATATTATTATGTAAAGCAGATAGTTTTCATGCTTCTCTTATCTTGCATATTTTAGGAGTCTATGGGAATGATAGTGGTCAGTTGGTCAATTTAATTCTTGAAATCCTTTTGGAGGAGTCCTCTGAAAGGGATAAATTGATCTGGCACTGGGAATGAAAGGAGAGTTTACTGTCGAGAATGCTTATCAAAAAAATCATTCAGACTCAAAGCTGGAGACAGAGACAAGGTTTCGGGAGCTACATCAGGAGTTGCTGGTATTCACCAAATGTAGAGCTTTAGCTGGAAATTGAATATTCATAGGAAGGTAAAAAATTTTATCTGGAGATGCTGGTTTGGCTATGTTGGGACAAAATTGATGCTCAGAAGAAAATGAGTGGGGATTTGAGTTATATATGAGCAATGTGGGCTGGAAGACGAGGACTTGAATCACATCTTCTTTCATTGTGAAAGGGCTTAGAGATGCTGGAAGTTATGTGGAGTGAGTTGGAATCTGTTTGAAGCTGGAAAAGGAGATTTTCGAAAATGGTGGTTGGAGATTACTACTAGAACATGGAAGAAAGAGTTAGTATGTCTGCCTACTTAATCTGGGGTTGGTGGAAAGCTAGAAATGGTTGGGTATTTGCAAAAGAGAGGGTAGCAGACAGGGAGCTAGTGCACGAGCAGTATTTTCTTGGAATCATATCATTTATGCTAATCCTAGGAAGAAAGATTTGATAAGAAGAGCAAGGGAGACTGAGCTGAATTGTGAAGAGACGTTTGAGAGTGGAGTAGGACAGCCATCTATAGCTATCAGTGCTCAAGTTTCACCTCCGAGTGTGGCACGAATGCAAGGGCAGATGCTGAAATCTTGGGCCAAGAAGGAGACTTTCTATGGCAGCTCTACGGAGGCTCAGCTGAGGGGAGTTGAATGGGGTTTGGAGCTAGCAAGGGATCAAGGGTGGTCAAACATAGCTTGCTGGGTGACAATAAAGTTTTGCTGCAGAAATTGCTCTCAGGCAATGGGTCTTCTTCTCCTGATATGCATTGCCTGTTTGAGGATATTTCTACATTGGTTACTTATATTATTTCTTGTTCTTTTCATTTTGGTGGTACTGCTTGTTCTAGTAGTAATGTCCTTGCTTGTGAAGCTATTAGGGGAAGTCTCGAGTGATTTTCCTGTTTGGAGGCTATTTCGGCTTGTGAAGTAGTTTTCCATGGCCATTTGGTCGGACAGTTTGTACAGTTTGATGAGTTTATTTTAACAGTTTGTATAGTTTGATGAGTTTATTTTAACAGTTTGTATAGTTAGTTTATTTTAGTTGTTTATCGTTTCGAAAAATAAAAAAAATAAGGGTCTTGCTTTTCGAGTTAATGGTAATACTTTATTATCGAAGTCAGAGCCGGTCCTGGAATTTTATAGGCCTTGGGCCAAATGAATAAATAGTGCCCATATTGTTTTATTAAGAAAAATGATAATAATAATAATAATAATAATAATAATAATAATAATAATAAAAATAAAAATAAAAATAATAATGAAGATTATAACAAAACTAGTGTGGTACCCGTGGCACGAGCTAATTTTATTAAGGTAAGCAGTTAAATTTGGAAATTGGAAGAACGTAAAATACATATATTGAAATGAAACACAATGTAACGTTATATATTATTAAACACATCATTGTACACAATGTTATTTGTTTGGTCTTTTGGTACATCGTCTATCGCCTATATTAAGATTGTAGATAGTCTTAAATAAATCGATTAACTTATTTAGCAGAATATATACGATATTTTGTAAGTGTATGAAATTTTTATTTATTTTGTAAGTGTATTCAATCAATTTCAAATTTATATTCTAGATAATTAAACAAAACCCAAATTTTTAGGATGTTACAATCTGATTTCATTTTGAATTTCAAATTAATTTTATAGGACTTTGTTTTATGTTTAAAAAAAGTCCGAATTAATGAAAGTAGTAATCAAATGATAATAGATTTTTAAATTTTAATTTGAAATTTGGCCCGATTATTATGTAATCCGATTTGTTTAATAAACATGATCTGCTACAATTAGGTAAATGTTGTAAATATTTTTCCGGAGTAGAATCAAAAGATTCGACACCGGGTCGTGTCTCACGAGGAAGGTCAGCCGGATTATTTCGTACGATTATTCAAACACAAGAATGAAAAATAAAAGAAATGAAATTCCTAAACATTCTAAATCCAAGTTTGGTTGGTTTGATTATTAACTACTTCAAATAAATTAAATAAAGCAATTAAATAGCAAACGGACACGTAGAACAAATAAGATTAAACGAGGCTAGGGAGTCGGGGATATCCGCTCTGGTTCAAGATGCAACTAACGGGCAAGTGATTGTTCAGCCAAGAGATTCGAATAATCTACCTAATCAAACATTCATTCTCAATAACTTTTCGTAACAAGAGAATAAACTAGAACGGCAAATTAACGAGCCAATTAGCTCCTAGGCAATACAGTTACGAACAAGCCTAGTTCATGCGAATCTATTTCGACCGACTCCTCCCCTTCCGGTTCTAAGAGTCGATTAATTAATCCTAGAAGATGGTTAATCAACTAGTCGATATCGGATTAACAAAATCACGCAAGAACGAATCAAATTCAATTAAATAATTGCAGATCGAAGTGTCACTTCTTCGATAATTCTCACCATTCAAGCATAAATCGAAAACCCTAATTAAGCATGAATCACATAAATTGAACAATCTTGGGCCCGACAATTACACACGAATTCAAAGCATCGATCCCCTATTCCCTAGCAATTAATTTAGCTATTCATAATCGAATCAACAATCGACATCATCACAATCGAAAAAACCATATTCATCAATTAAATGAAAAAGAAAATCTTACGATCGTTCAAATCCGAAAGTACAACTTGATAAACAAGCTTGAATCCGAAAATAATAGCAAATTCCGAGGTTCAATCCGTGTTCTCCATCGAAAATTATTAAAAGAGATGTAAAAAAAAATGAGTTTTTAAGGGGAGGAACCCAAAAACTAAAAGAAACCTAGGTTGTAGAATGAATCCCCG